AATCTCACCATTTTGGGGGCCAAACAATCTCCTTTTGCAAAAGATACTGTGGGCACTTTTAATGCTAATGAGCTGGTCAGAAATTCTCACTTGATTAGTGGTCTGCACCCCTACGCTCTATACGGTCTTTGATTGACAGGCCCTGAGAAAAGGGTTAAGGTTGATTGGAAACGCAGGCACACATTTGGTACAGCTGACATGCATGACGTACGAAAAACACATGTAACACCTCTGGTCCACTTTATCAATGTAGGCTAGTACTCATAGGCCTGCTACATGTTAGGGCATATGCGTGACACCACGTACGTAGTGAAGAGATTGCATTCCAACATTTATGTATATTCGAGTGCACTAGGCCCTACACTTACTTTTATTTGTTTACGTCCATAATATCATAATTGATATTTACATGTACATGTAGGCCTATTCAGTGCCATGATGGCGACAGAGTCTAAAACTGAAGACAGGATGGAAGATGACAGTAGCCGGAGTAGGGTGGGAATTGGCCTAGGCCTAACCACGTTACTTCAGCACTTACAAGAATTGGGTAAGTTATGCCAATTAGGCCCATACTCAGACCCTTTCAGGCTTGGCTTGGTTAGACCTGTAAACAGGGCCCGACAAATACTCCTCCATCGTATGGGCCCTGTCCCGATTCAAAGGGATTTCTTTCGAAAAATTTTTCTGGGGGCATAACTATACTACATCCGCTTGATTTTATGAGCTGAAATTGCACCGGTATGTTCACTACTTATGGTGTAAACTATCCGCTAGGTTGCTAATTGTAGAAACTCGCCTTTTCCTCATTTGGAGGAAATAATGTTGCCTTTTTTTTGCCATTTTCCCACACCGTACGAATTTTGTCCTGATTTGTACATTACACAGACTCCTTTGTCCAGTCAAGTAATGGTACCCAGTACAAGAGCCTGTCTAGTTTGCACCCAGACTTCAGCACCTACGAATCTCGTTCAGATCTGCAAGAGTAGGCATGTTCTTCATAAAATGGATCAAAATGCAATTTCAGCTGTCATTTTTCAAAATTTCTAAAAGAGTGACTTTGATCATGTAAAATACAAATTAACACCTTCAGATTTATAAAAATGATTATATGGGGATAATTAGGCATAATGTGTACTTATAGTGGACATTTGGTTGGCTACCAGTGCAAAGCAAATGGAGCTGAATTCATTTAAAGTTTTACGTCAGAGTGTTCACACCAGAGGACTTGATTTCAAAACTTCTCTCAACAAGAAGGAGAATTCAGTATATTTTTCGTCTGATGTATTTTAAAGCATCTAAGAAATAACTTTATAGAAATATAAGCAATGAAAAAAAGAACACAAAATTGACGGAAAATGATGACAAAAGTTTGGCTCTCTTCATTCTCTTACCGTTTATAATCACTCTCACTATACCAACTTATTTGCCAGGTCTTGTATATTTCTACCACCAAAAATTATCTTTAAGTTTGGCTGCATCAAAAATGTATGAGTGCAATATGTTTGTTGCGAACGTTTTATTTGACAGAATTTGATAACGTTTGATAATTTTGACAGAAACTGCATAACGTTCGAGAATGCCGAAAATGCTGTCACATGTAGTCCTCGAAAATTCCGTGCGCGATTTTCATTTTGCCGGTTATTTTGGAGATAACTCCGCCGAAAATGAAATTAAAATTAACAATTCTGAGCATCATGAATCGTATTTTATGTCTCAAATGTTATTTTTTTGCGAACGTTATTCAGAATGACAGATTTTCTTTAAGAAAAATTGTTCCGAAGAGAAAAATCGTAGAGCGTCGCCAATCCGTGGAGGGGTTCATGAATATCGAATAAAAAAGAGGGCGCACTATCTTGGTTGATGTCGAAGGTCAAACAGGCCACGATGCAGCGAAATGTTTCTCTAACGTCACCGCGAGAGATTGACGGAAGCCGCAAAATCGCCACAATCGGTATTTTGGACTGCGATTTCGGGAACATAGTTGAATATGTGATCGGTCCAGTCGTAAAAGGATGGTGGTTTGGCGGTGCTTTTTTGCACTCTTTTATAAAGCTTGTGTTATACATTGATATACGGATTTTACTCCCTTTTTTGCAGTCGATTTTTTGGACAATAATGACAGAATCTAGTGACATTTGCGACTGCCGACTTCGGGACCCGATTAATTGTGAGAGATACTTTTTAATTATGTGATTATGGTTTTAATATGTGTAAATATTATCACCTTTCACCACATTTAAATCTGTGTAAAATAACCTCGGGGATTATCACTCCTCAGTAAACTCTGTTCGCTCGGATTTTAACAGGGAGTTCATGTTCCTCAAAATTGCTAACGTTCGAGACTTTAATTAAGTAACTCCAATTAATTTGAAAGGTCAACACGGTCATCATTGTTCCAGATGTCAGCCATGACTTTCCTCATTACATCAAACATTGGAAATTAATTCACTGCTCTTCACTTCAGGAAAAATGAACCCCCGACGTTGAACATATCTAATGGTCCATATTTTGAGGAACCTGCCAGTACCTGTCGATCTAAGCACTTGTAGAAAATTACAGCTGTTTTGTGTTGCAGCTAATACAAAACGCCCTTGGCTGATTCCCTGTCCACACACACTGTTTGCGGCAAATCATTAGTAGTGCAGCTTGTTCTCTGTGACGTGACATGAAAGTGATGAAACAGCCATCATTTTTGTGCAAGTGGGGCAAAATTCGTCCAGAGTGGAAAAACGGCCAAAAAAGGCAATATTTTTCCTCTAATCAAGGAAGAGGCAAGTTTTCTACAATTAGCAACCCAGCGGACTTTTACACCGTAAGTAGTGAACATACCGGTGCAATTTCAGCTCATAAAATCAAGCGGATGTTTAGTTATGCCCCGGATAAATTTTTTGAAAGAAATCCCTATGAAGCGGGACAGGGCCTAGCATACGACGGAGGAGTATTCATTGGGCCCTGTTTATGGGTCTAGGCTTGGCAACCATGCTATCTGCATCTAATTTCAAGGCAAGCCTTGGCCAAACCTAGTAGTAGTAGTAAAGGCAGACTTCTTTTGACCATCCCGCAGGTTGGGGGCCATTCAAAATTTATAACGTTACAATTTTTTTTCTAAATAGGCCTAATGCTGGGTTGGTCAAGGTCAGCCCCCAGACTGGGGGTAGCCTACTGCCCCCCTCCGTATCCTAGGCCCCACAGCGGTCCGTTCAAAAAGTGGAGACTCTGCAAAAATGCCTTCTATGAAACCCCTTTTGCGTGTATGGATCATTCACCCCATCATTACTCAGATCATGATGTATTACTTCGGTTCATTTGAGTGGAGCGTTAGTATTCCTTTTTTTTGATTTTGGACTGGATCGTCATTCTAACGCTCTATGCCTGTACATATAGTAAGGTTGAAACAGTTCTCAAAAATTCCAAAGACTCACCAAAAATACACCACCCCCTATCACCCCCTACTGGCTCCTGTAAATGCCAATGTCAAATAGTTGAGGCTTCAATGATATTTCTGACGTCAAGTTCAAATCTGCCAAATCTGACTGTTTTTGCTTGACACACGTACAGCACTTAAACTTTCCGCTGCCTCCTCTCATTCAAATACAGGCGTATAGAGTTTTCTAGTGCAGAAAAAAAATTAAAAAGTAGAGACTTAAATTCCTGCAATTATCTTGGGAAATAGGCCTAGATGTACTTGCGTAGAACACAACCCAAAATTTGTTTATCCTTTCCTAATGTCTGATGTAAAGGTAAGATATTTTTCTATCAAAATGCATACCTTTTTTTCCGCGATAATAATCTTGTATATGATTAGGGAGAAGTTGAATGCAAGCGCTAAGTTAAGACAGCGCAAATGATCCCTAGAAGTTACGATCTCCATTTTTTTGGGGGAAGGATACTACCACATGACTAATGGAAATACCCCTTTATAAACCACAGAAGCATGTCATTTCATGGAAAGCCTCCAATGTTATCGCAAACGCCCGTGCATGCAACGGCAGTGACATTCTGACCGCAACGAGCATGTGGATTGTAACATCTGTAGTAGGAGTCAGTTTCAATCAGGGCCATTTGTTTGCTACAGCGATTAACTCCAGATCGCTGACTGATACCAAACATAGTCGGGATGTGTTTGGTCTGGGAACTAATAGCATTATTACGTACCGGTAGACCCTCAGAGCATGACCAATGAACACTGATAAATGATGAACCGAAATGCATTCGATGCTAGGGATCGATCGAGTGTGAACTTGCTACCAGATATAGCGTAGTATGGTGGAGCACACACCATTCACTCGTCCAATCCCAATTCCGCACGATAATGATGCGCATTCCTGAAAATACCTGATGGCGGCTGTTTTCGACACATTGCATTCACGCATACACACAAGGCTTCATTACCAGTGATACACTGATAAAACAGCAGTTCGGATCACCATCTCTAAAGCTGTGTGGGTCCCAGATGACATCCAGATCTTTATCTGCCAAAAACATCAATACAAATTGTGGCTGTGGTTGCTCAAATTTACAGGAAACATGCTACCCATGATAGATCATGGGTAGCATGTTTCATGTAAATTAAACTTTCCTTTTATTTGGAATCCCTAAAAGCAAATTTAGGAGAGTTTTCGGTCGAATCTTGCGCTGGAGGTATTGAATTTGTATCAGTGGGTAGGCGGGTTCCGCTGATGAAAAATCACATGAAAAAAATTAAGTTTTGCCAAAGCTTACTTTATGCATGAAAATGTTGCAAATAAAAATCTCCACCGATTTACATGTACCATAGGAAAATTTATGATAACTGTAACAATTTTCAAAAAAAGCCCTTAGAAATCACGGGTTTGGAAGTGGAGGAAGTGGCTTTTAGAGTGGCTGCAGCAGAACTGAATGAAGATTTCTTTCAAAGTAATCCAGATCAAAATGCTCTTGAATCAAACTGGAACTTCTTCTGAAATGGGCTAAACAGCATTGTAAAAAAAACTACTTCCAAAAAAGATTGTTAACCACTTCCTGCCGGGGGCTCTGGAATCTGAGACGTGTGGTTTATATGGGTGGCCGGGGTCTCCGAACTCAGACAAAGAAAACAGGGCCCTGTAACAAAAGACTGATTTTTCACTCTCAAAAGTGGTGATAATCCAGCCTTGTTTTGAAATTGTATACCAGGGTTTGGGGCATGTATAGCAAAGGGATTACCTCTGGGAACAAAAGCGCTCCACCTCCGCAGCGATGAGCCACACAGCACCGCTGCACGCTAATCTGGCCCTTATTGAAAAGAGGTCAGCAGTGCACTGAGCCAGATTCGTGAACAAAAGAAAGTTACATAACACTTCACAGTCTGGGCTCTTTTTACAAGGCTGCAGGCCTGGCTGAAATACTCGGGCGTCAATGAAGGTTACCTGTCAACTTAGAGTAGTGCCTAAAGATTACTTTGTGCAGCTATAAACGCCCATTAAA